TTCTTTTCAAACAAATGCATACACTTTTGATCACTGTTCATTTCTTCATTTATAGATAGTTATTGAATAATCACTCTCTGCAAGGACTACTCCAAACAGTGGGATGATCAATGAGCAAGTGAACAGCCTTTTTTCATGCAGTTGAACATTGGGTGGGAAGCAGAGTTATAATTTTGCAGCCTTTCTAAGGAAACTTACAGCTCTTCTGAAAAACGACAAGGCCTACAGCCTTTTTCTCCACCAGATGTTAGCATATTCGACACACTATAGTAAAGAGGCAAATAAATATTTCAAATTTTATTTCAGTGCCCAGTAGGAGCAATATAGAGAATGTATACTCTGACGTACACCATCCTATGCTTCCTATGATTTTTTTTAATGGAAGAACAGGAACAAACTTCTATATATGTGAATCATTTGAATATAACAAAAATATATTTCCATATAACTCATTGACAGGTACATAATCAGGGATTTGTGGCAACTTCTACACTTTTCCCAGTCAATCTCTCTCATATTGGGCAAGCATCAATGTTATAGCTAGTCCCTAATTAAATAAAAAAGAAAAAAATGAGCAAAAAGTCTAATTAAAGCTTTTTCATTGAACATGAGCATTAAAGAACAAAAGCAGGAAATATATTCAGAGCTGGCACTCTGAGATTTTAAAACCCTGCCTTCAAACAAGCATATCTCAAATTCCCTGGGCTGGCCATTTAATAGGCTGGTATTTATTGACAAAGCAACTGCACATAGTTATTAGTGATTATGAACTTTGGAATTAGACATCCTATCATTCTGATTCTGAATTAAAATTATTAAACTCTTCCCACTAGTACTAATTTACCACATACACCATAAAATCCCTAGAAAGGAGATTAGTGGGGACTGGGAGAACTTTTCAAAAATGGAGCTTTATTGGTAAAATGTTTAACTTAGTCAGTTTGGGCAGCCATAACAGTATACCTTAACTTAGATGACTTAAATGACAGACCATTATTTCTCATAATTCAGGAGGCTGGGAAGTCCAAGATCGAGTTGCTGGCATGATAGATTCCATTCCAAAGCCTCTTCTCTGGACTGGTGATTGGGCACCATCTCACTGTGCTCACATGAACTCTTCCTTGTGCAAGCAGATAAAGAGATTGAGCAAGTTTTCTGGTGCTCATCCCATCAGGGTACTATTCCACCTGAAGGACCCCACTTTCATGACTTCATGTAAATAAAGATAAGCACCTCTCTTGGTCCTATCTCCAGACTCCATCATATTGGAAGAACTTCAACCTGAGAATTTTGAGGGGACACAATTCAGCCTATAGAACCATTATTCAAAGTCTGGTCTCTCACCCTACACATAGAAGATGAAGAAGAGAACTTTGCTAATAAAACACTTAATCAGCCAGGTGCAATGGCACATGCCTGTAATCCCAGTGACTCGGGAGGCTGATGCTGTAAAATTGAGGGCAGTCTCAGCAACATAGCAAGACCCTGTTTTTAATTTCTTTTAAAAAAGGGCTGGGGAATGTAGCTCATTGGTAGAGTGCCCCTTTGTTCAATCTCAAGTACTATAAATAAATAAACAACTAAATAAATCACTTATTCTATTCTAGCACTGGCCTAAGGACTTCAACACATTATTCAATTTAATAGAGTAAATCACATCATGAAGCTCAAAGAGATGAAATAACTTATGCCAAATCACAAAACTTGTAAACTGTAGAGACTCAAATTCTGTACCATTTGACCTGTGTATTTTCATCTTTCTGAGAACCCAGGGGTCCTTTCTAAAATTTCAATATTTACCAGTTAGCTTATTTAAGAGTGATTAAGCCCAAAAAAGACAGCACAAACCTCCAAGGTCACCTGAAACCACTCTGAATCAGGAAGTCAATATTTTTATTTCATCGAGGTAGTTACAGTGGTCAAAGACCATATATTTGTGTTTGTTCTTTAATCCATAAATGGGTTCTAAAAATTGAATTTGTAAAAAGGCTTAGTTAACATGAAGTCAGGGAAAAGRGAATCGGATAGTCTGTGAAGATATTTCAATACTGACTTGGGTTAGCATTCTTATTCTGCTGGCTATGTGATTTTTCATGTCTCTAACATCAATATCATCTAACTTAGGAGGTAAGGACTATGTCAATGTAAATTATTGTGTACAGCCAAGCATAGTAGCAAAAAGAAGTGGCTCAATAACTGTTTGATCAGTACCTAGAGACATCATTTGGTACACCTTCAAATACTTTGCTGCTGAGAAAGAAAAATTTGCAAATGTCCTTCCTTAGGGTSAGAATACCAAAAAGCAAGCCAGATTCTCATCACTCTCCCACCTTGTCCAGGTACTCAGCACTACCATGCAGATGTCCTTCTCCAAAACAGCCCCAGTTTAGTGGTGTAAGTGGCTGGCAATTTTCTTCTGTAAATGGCCAGATGGTAAACACTTTCAGTCCTGCAATCTGTATGGTCTCTGCTCTACTCCATTCTGCCATTGTAGCATGAAAGTAGCCACAGTAAACAACTAAATGAATGAGCATGGCAGTGTCCCAATAAAATTTCATTCAAAAAGATGTGGTGRCCCAGATTTGGCCAGCAAGCTATATATATATATATATTTTTTTTTTTTTTACTTTTTAGTTGTAGTTGGACACAATACCTTTATTTTTTATTTATAATGCAGTTCTGAGGATCAAACTCAGGGCCTTGCACATGAGAGGTGATTTTTCTACCACTGAGCCACAACCCCAGCCCCAGCCACAACTCCACCCCTGAGCAAGCTATAATTTTCCCACTCCTGCACAGATAAACAATGTACTTTTTCTTCCTATTTTTGTGATGAGTGGTATAGAGGGTTTACTTTAAACAATTCATACAAAAAAAATCTCAATTAAAGTCCCACTGAAATTCTCATTTATTTTATTCTTTCTTTCTTTTTCATACTGGGAATTAAACCTAGGGGCACTCTACCACTGAACTACATCCTCAACCCTATTTTTTTTTTTAATTGAGACAGAGTCTTTCTAAATTGCTGAGGCTGGTCTCAAACTTGTCATCCTCTTGCCTCAGCCTTCCAAGTTGTTGAGATGATCATAGGTATACATCACTGCACCTGGCTGAAATTCTCATGTATTTACTCCAAATCTTTTTGTTTGTTTTTGTGCTGGGGATCGAACCCAGGGCCTTGTGCATGCAAGGCAAGCACTCTACCAACTGAGCTATATCCCCAACCCTATCTTCTTTTTTCTTTTTACTGAAAATCTTTCAAAGACCCCAATATTCTCCAGAGTATTCAATTCCTGCTCAAAGATTGAGAGAGAGAGAGAGAGAGAGAGAGATAGATAGAGAGAATTTTATCATAGAAATTGGCTCACACATTTATAGAGGCTGAGCGGTTGCCCAATCTGCAGTCTGCAACCTGGAGAATCAGGAAAATCAATGGATCAGTTCAGTCTGAATAAGAAAGCCAGATAACCAGGGCAGTCAGCTGTGTAACTCTCCACCTGAGTCTGAAGGCTTGAGAACCAGGAGCACAGATGTCTGAGGGCAGGAGATGAATATTTCAGCTTAAATACAGACAACATCAGCTTCAGCAACTTAGAGACACCTTTCTCAAAATTTCTTAAAATTTTTTAAAATGCCTTGGATAGCTCAATGGTAGAGCATTCCTGGGTTCGATCCCCAGTACAAAAAAAGAAAATGTCCTAGCACTGGGAATGTTGCTGAGTACTAGAGCACTTGCAAGACCCTGGGTTTGATCCGCTGCACCACAAAATAATAATAACAACATTACAAAATCCTCTATAGCATTAAAAATCAGGGAATCACAAATTTAAATTTTAATCAGATACCACTACATACTCACTAAAGTGACTAAAAATGAAAAGACTTGCCAGATGCGGTGGCACACGCCTATAATCCCAGCAGCTCAAGAGCCTGAGATGGGAGGATAGTGAGTTCAAAGCCATCCTCAGCAAAAGTGAGACACTAAGCAACTCAGTGAGACCCTGTCTCTAAATAAAATACAAAATAGGGCTGAGGATGTGGCTCAGTGGTTGAGGGCCCCTGAGTTCAATCACCAGTACCAAAAAAAAAAAAAAAAAAAAAAAAAGACTGATAATGCCAAAGAGCAAAGACATTACTGGGAGTATAAAATTTTACAGTCACTTCAGAAAAAGCTGCTTTTTTGACAGTTATCTTTATAAGTCTGCCTTATGACTCAGCAATGGAATGTTTATTATTTATCCAAGAGAAATGAGACTCACAGGTCCACATAAAGACTTCAACATACAGGTACATAGCTGCTTTATTCACAATAACCCCAAACTGGAAACATCTCAGTGTTTATCAACAGGAGAATGTATAAACAAAACTGTGGTATGTTTACTTCATAAAATAGTACTCAGAAATAAAAATGAATGAATCTACAACTCTGTGGATGGAGGCCAAAAATATTATGCCAGGTATAGAAGTCAGATGCAAAAAAGAGTAGTACATACTGTGTGATCCATTTATATTAAATCCTAAAGGAACAAAAGTAACCTATGTGGGGGGTACCAAGGACTGAACTCAGGGGCACTTAACCACTGAGCCACATCCCCAGCCCTATTTTGTATTTAAAGACAGGGTCTCACTTAGTTGCTTAGCACCTTGGTTTTGCTTAGATTGACTTTGAACTTATGATTCTCCTGCCTTCAGCCTCCAGAGCTGCTGGGATTATAGGTGTTCACCACCCCACCAGCTCCAAAAGTAACCTATTGTGATACAAATCAGGTGTGCTTAACCACTGAGCCACATTCCCAGCCCATACTATTATTTTATTTTGAGACAGGATCTCACTAAATTGCTTAGGGTCTTGCAAAATTGCAGAGGCTGGTCTCAAATTTGTGCTCCTGCCAAGCTGCTGGAATTGTAGGCATGAACCAATGTGCCCAGCCAGAAAACTGTTTTTTTAATATTTATTTTGTACTTGTCATTGGACACAATATCTTTATTTATTTATTCCTATGTGGTGCTGAGGATCGAACTCAGGGCTTCACACGTGCTAGGCGAGCACTCTGCCACTGAGCCACACCACAGCCCCCAGAAAACTGTTTTTAATAGCAATAAAAGGAGAATAGGAAAACAAATGTTGGTTATTCATTGGTAGATTCAAAAACCTGAAAAAAATGTGCATGCAGACAATTTGAATGGATTCATGAACCCCTACTAGATGTCATTTTACCTGAATGATAATTGAACATTACTGATCTGGTGAGTTTGAGCAACTACTTATTATCAAACACAGTTAATGAAAGGAGTATGAATGGCAAATTCGCTTAGCATTAGGTATTCAAGAGACATAAGATTGGTTAGAATATGCCACAGTCATCCACCTGGAATAAATGTTGTCATCTATGTCTCCCAAAGACTTCACTCCATGAAGTGGCCTATTCTTAATTGATCAGTATTTAATTCTACTGCCATTTAAAATTTACAATATGTGAATGTAGGAAGATAGGCCACTTCACATAAGTGTACATTCTACTTACACACTTGATTTGATGACATTAGTTTGCAGGTGTCTCTACTTCAATTAATTGCATATTGGGGAAATGCATAATTTCAACTCAGTACAAAACTGAAGTATTTGAATGATAGTCTCTTTGATATAATTATTTCACATAAGTTGAGTGCTGACAAAATGTTGTCCTTTATTTTTTAAAATAATAGCTTCAAGTATGTTCAAGATTAGATAACACCAAAAATGTCAAGATATGATAAATGTGAAATAAAAATAATGAGATTAAAACTTTCTATCTTTATCTAATTTCCTCCAAATTCATAAACTGTTTCTCCTTTTGAAATCAGGTTACAAACTCCCTATGTCCTATGCAATATTTTTCCAGCCTGATTTAAAGAACAAAAAAAGTACCTTTAGAAAAGTCATGTAAAGACACAGTATTTTTGCTGATCAGTAAGCCAAATCCTGAGCTGTAAAAATATACTAACTTCTTTTTACTATAATAGTAAATAGAAAAGGAAAATTATTCAACTCAACAAAAGAAATGCATAACTTATTCTGTCCACTGTATCTGAAAACTGATTTGAGAGCCTTGGTAATTTAGGGAAACCTTATCTCAAAATAAACTTTAAAGGGTTGAAGATGTAGTTAGGAGGTAAAGTGCTTGTCTAGCACGTATGAGATTCTGGCTTCAATCTCCAGTACCACAAAAACAAACAAAATTAACCAGACAAATGTGCTCAGCCTGGGACAAACAGGCTGTTTGTGGGTGGGACAGCACAGAATACCAGCTAGGGAGGAAAGAGGTGAGACCACAATGCTCACTGCTCCAGAAATATTCAGTCCATTAGTAGGAAATTAGTTTTAATCAAAGCCAGATGAGAAGCTCTGGGAGAAAGAAAGATTTAAAAGGAGGAAGGGGATGCATTAGGACAAAAGACAGAATTTCACAAGTCCCAAACAGGTTTTGCTCCTGAGTCATTAGGGCCCAGAGGAATCTTACAGGTTTTAACTCTCTCTGAGTCACCTGAGCTTCCTTATCTCACTGGAACTTCCTGAAACTAGCATAAACATCTTTATACTTTCAGTGGGGGGTGCCCCTAAATTCAGTGTGTTTCAGTATGACTTGAAGACAATGGGCCACTCTCCTCATGGTGAAATGGGCTTATATGAACCATCAAAGCCCATCTCACCATGTATTGTCCCCAAAGTTTTCTTTTCTCCTGTTTAAAGAAGCAAAATCAAAATGTCCCCTGTTACATGCATTTCAAAAGGAAAGTATTTGTTCTAGGCAATGAGTTGATTGAATCAATATTTGCAGGGTCCTAGTCTGTTTCTGTAAGGGGTGATTTCATATTCCAAATTAAACTTTTTTGTCCCAATAGATATGGGAAATACAGTTATGAGGCAGTTTACAAACTCTGTAAACTTACAGAGTTATAAACCTAAGAGTGGCCACCCCTCATAGCACAGTTGTTAAAGAATCCAGCCTCTGCCTGAAGGTTTATTTCTATGAAGCTGTTTTGCAGTGGACATGTGATCTGCTCCTCATACAAGCTTTATAAGATGCCTCCTTTTGCCAGCTAAGCTGAAATTCAAAAGAAATTTTCCAGAAACATGTTATTTAGGGTTGCATTTATAATATTTGAAAAGTGCTCAATTAAAAGATACCCTCACAGGCAGGCATGGTGGCAGACCTGTAATCCCTGCAACTCAGGAGGCTGAGGCAGAAGTATTGCAAGTTTAAGGCTAACCTTGGCAACTTAATCAGTGACTCTGTCTCAAAAAATAAAAGGCTTGGGGATGTAGCTATAACTCAGTGTTAAAGCACCCCTGGATTCAATCCAATCCTTAGTACAACCCCACAAAAAAATTTTTTTAAAGATGCCTTAAGAAATCTTAAAAGCATGTAATAAATTACATAATGAAAAAATGTAAAAATATTTTATTGGATTACTATAATTATATCTGACCAATGTCCATGCTGTAGTTGTTATTTCAAATTACCCAGAAGGTTCTAGATTCTGTGGGAGATGACCTGATCTTTTGTGATTTGATATTTATTTTTTAAAAATTATAACTACTACCAGAAAAACAGTTTTAATGGATGTTTATCAGTAAGTTATTTAAATATCAGCTTTAAACTTTTGCAGAAAAGCATTTAGATATTAGTCTGGGGAAATAGTGACATCTAATGGCAAGAATCAGTAATTAAAAACCCCTAAACAGGAAAAAGTCAAGTCAGGGAAGTCAAGCAAAATAAAAAAGGCAGGAATTAACAAATTTGTGATTTTGTAGGCAAAATAAATTTTTCTCACTTTGGCTTTTGGCTTTGAGAAAATGTGCTGTATTTCTGTATTATAATATATTCCCCCATTCCAGTAGATGAAGGAGTTTAATTTGGAAAATAAAAGCTTTTGTATGGAAATACAACAGGGCACTGCTAATATTTCATTCCATCAACTCATTGTTTAGAAGAAAAATATTTTATCTTTGAGAAGCATATAGCATGAGAAATTTATTTCTTTTCATTTTCAAATAGAAATAAAGGAAACATTTTCCCCTTTAATGTCTGTAACAAATGCTCTATAAGATTTCACCCACACTCCCTCTGCCGATCCCAGCAGTCACCTGCAGCTTAGGTGGACAATAACACATTACATTCCTTATCTCTGCCTGAGGTCTGTCTCTGGCTGCAGGAATGAGTCCTGCCTATGCAACACAGACTGGAAATGCCTGGAAGTTAACACCCTGCCTGCCCCATGAGCCACTCTCAACAAAGAGGGCAGGGCATATAGAAATAAATACCTCAGCTTCCTCTCTCCCTGGTGGGATAATTGTGTTGTTTACTACAGGATCTGTCCATCTGTCGGGGGAATCCAGCAGAATGCAATCCCAGTTGCCCACAACAGAAACTTGCACCTTTCATTGTTTTTCCTGTATTCCTAACTCCTCCCATGCTTTCTGGTGTCAACACCCAAATCACTGTGTAAGGATCAGCTTTTAGAGGAATCCAAATGAAGATAGCTGTCTATTTACGCTGTAGACACACATGTTCATGTGTTTCAAAGGAAAAATTGAATTCCAAGTATTTTTCCTACTTTCATTAGCAATACACCAAAATGAAACAAGCAAAGACTAGTCTATTTTTATTTTACTGCAACTTTAAAGCCTTTTACAACTCCTTGAAGCCCTGCTCTCATCCTCCTTTGGGCTTTCTGTTTATGGAAATGGAAGTTCAACCTAGGGAAATTGCCTCATTAAGGAAAGAGGGCACCTGTACACCAGGGATTTATATCCACTCTAAAATCCCTGAAGGAAATTTTGAACTGGATGTTAAGAACTGTTGAACCGGTTGACAATCGACTTGCTAATTGTCTAAGACATAGCATATTAAGATTTTGTACTTGAGCCAGGTGCAGTGGCACACACTTGTAATCCCACTGATACAGGAGGTAAGTTCAAGACAGGAGTGAGTTCAAGGCCAGTCTGGGCAGCTTCTCAAGACCCTGTCTCAAAATAAAAATTAAAAAGGGCTGTGGATGTAGCTCAGTGGTAGAGCATCCCTAGTTTATATGCCCAGTATCTCTCTCACACACACACACACACACACACACACACACACACACACAAATGATGCTAAGATTGTAAAGTTAAAGACCCAAAGATTAGAAATACATTTTACCAAACATTTATATGCTACAAGTTGTCTTTTTTCTTTTTAACAACCAATTTAACTATTTTTCTTCACTTTCAAGGGCATGTGAGGGGCAGAGAGAACAGCGACTATCTCATATTTTACACAAAACAGGCTCAACCCAGGAGGCAATATACAGAAGGGGAGGTACAGCTAGTAAGTACTTTGACCATCAATCACATGTAAATTTCAACCCCGGCCACAACTTTGCATCAAGAGTCAATTTATTCTGACCTGATGGCAATGAAGGGGGAAAAAAGCTGTTTTATATTGGCATGTGGAAAATTACAAAATAAATCTCAGATGTATTCACCCGAACTCTTGGTCACAAACAAGTCAAACGTGCTAACTATAGCATGTGACTAATCGCACTTTATACACCAAGTGATGTTGGTAAAGTCATGTTTTTATTCCTCCTTTAAAAGAAAAACATTTCTAAGCCAATTATTCATTTCCCCAAGTAGTAGATTTATGAAGTTAAATAATCATTAAGGTAAAGAAAAAGGATTCATGTGTCCCAAATTTCAAAACAATAAATGCCTTTTTTAAAACCACCATATATTCTAAAATCTAAGACCTACCTTGAAATCTATGGGTGTCTCCTATTTCAATGGGTTTTTGAACCCCAAATTATCTTTGTATCTGTAGGTAAACAATATTCTACTGAGGTACTTTGCCTAGTATTATACATATATTCTTTCATGTAATGTTTATGGTACAGTTATTATGATTATGTATATCATTATGTTTCCATACATTTTTATGATTACATATGTGAATACTGAATCTTGAGGATAGGTGCCTGAACTCAGGTCTGCCAGATTATAAATGCAACTTTTTAAATATGGTATTAGCAAGCTATTGCTGCAAAATACACA